AAACACTTGCAAAAATACTGTACTGCAGAAAACGGTCAACGTTGTCTGCGAGTTTACATCCCCATCGGTGACTGGGTGCGTCGACCGGACCCGATCATCAGTCTGCTACGACCACACATCAAGATGAATAACAATGTAGCTCCACGGCGGGCGTGCCAAAGCGCATGTGACACCAGCTCATGACAGGACTACATGCATATCGATCCGCATATGGCGGAAAATACCATCATACTGGCTAAAGTGTGCAAAAAGTGAACTGAAAGTGGACGCGATCACGCAGTCAACCGGCCGATTGACAGACGGGCACACTACGGTTGAAGATGAGACCTCTGGCACCTAGAAATAGGGTCCGTAAAATAGGGGGGGGGGGCGACAGAACCCGGTAAAGACAATCCCTCTATTTGTCATTATACAACGTGCCCACTACTGCTTCGCATAAAGCAGCTTTTCATAACACCAAATGACGTATTTTGTGCAAGAGAAATTCAGAAATGTAAGTTCGAGCTGACGCGCCCACGAATGTTTTGTGTATGTATTATGAAGCTGCAAGTGGTGTATGCTGCCTGCCGATTTGGCAGGACCGAAGATGAAACGTCACGAACTAACGTAGTCACGCTTTGAACATTTTTCACGATGAAGGGAAACGGTTTCATTACGAAAAATCGGACCAATATATGCAAAAAATACATACGGCTAGCCGAAAGTTTATAGTCACACGAAGAGCTCCACAGCTTTTTTTGTAGCCTTCAACATTGGGCTGTGTACGGGATGTTAGGAGTTTGGATAATTTACTTTTTTGACATATTTTAGTCGTAGCTTGTACACAGACTAGGACACTCTATTGATTCACATGTGTTATTTCCGAGCGTAATATTCTCCTAAACCTTTCTGAACCCTTGTCGCACTTTTGAGGATGGGCACACCTCTAAATAGAATACCGTCAATATAAACGTTGTTTAGTCAATACCATATAAATATATAATATATATAATATATATATATATATTATATTATCGTATTTGTAACCGGATCACGTGACAGACACCGGTGTCCCAGTTCCAATCCTACGGCCTTCCTCGCCGGCTGAGCCCGGCCACCCGGCCGGCGACCGCCACTCACCAGCAGCGGGTAGAACTCTGCACGAGCACCGACACCACGCGCAGCAAGCCGCATGCTGATCGGGAAGTAGGGCTTGTCCTGCGGGCTGGCGGCGCCGCGTGCGCCGGCCGCGCCCCGGTGCTTCAGGTTCGGCGAGAACAGCCTGATCACCATGGCGCACACCCGCCTCAGCAGGAAGTTGAACTCGGGGTGCTGGCGGGGTGGAGCACCAGTGTCATCCACTGTGGCACCGCTGACCGCGGCCGGCCGCGGTCTGGTGCAGGCTGGTGTAGAGGCTGCTGCTAACGTGGCGCGCGCAGCGAACGTCAAAGGCAGCCTGTGCTGCGAAGCGGCGGGTGAGACGTGGCGGTACTGCTGCAACGGCGCGCACGCAAGAATCCTTTTCAAATACGCTTCCACAATCCCCGGCTCCCATGACTGCGCCAAGCCGTGCTGACGGTCTCTTGCGGGTCAATGCACACGGACGGAGGAGGGGAGAGCGGGAGGTGTTGTGTAAAGCTCACCTTGTAGAAGACACCGGGAACGAAGTGAGGATGGACTCGATGAGCTCTAGACCGAACGTGCGCGTCATCTCGGTTAAGCCGGCCAGCCAGAAGGGCTGCTCGCCGTTCACCAGCTGTACCAGGTCCTGTCGGCCATCCGACGAGGTCAGCGGAGCTCAGCACCGGTCACAGGGTGACCAGAGGTTGGCGCTGGTCACCAGTAGCAAGCAAGCCCACGGAGATCAAACGGGTCCGCACAGTTCACAGGTGTCCGCAAGCATCAGAGGTCACTTGTGATTATCAGATCACACCACAGCAGAGAGGGGCTGTCAGCAAAGGTCCGCAGGGGAGACAGAAGCTTTGCAGACGTAATGGGCGAGGGGACTAGTCCACATGGCCGATTAAATATGTGTTGCTGCGTCTCACGGCGGTATGCCCTTAGCAGTCGTCGCCCGCATCGTCCGTCGTCCGAGATATGGCCGATTAAGTGCATTCAAAAGTAGATGCACCTGGTTAAACGAAGAGGAGGCTCTGCATGAGTTTTTTTTCGCCAAATTTGATCATCAATTGCGCTACAACACACAGCAACCAGCACACTACTCAACAGCAAACCATGTCAGCAATCGTTGACTACAGCCGGCCAGCGGCTGCTGCAGCGATACACGACCGAGCCGGTGCTCCGTACCTGAACAGCAGATAGGCGTCCGCGCCGCCGGCCGCAGCGTCTTCGGCGCCGAGCCGCTGGCGATCTTCAGGTGCTCCATGTCCGCCGGCTGGCTCGGTGACGACTGCAAAGGGCGCGCAGTCGTGAGACGCAGCAACACAGCGGCGAGGGCACCGAGCGGACCAAATGCTGCACCGCACGTGACAGAGCGGGCACACCACAGTCGCAATAAGCACCAAAACGGGAGGGCACTGCGCGAGCGGCACTGACGTCCGCGTGAGGAAGAGGACCGGGAAGCGGACAAGCACGTCCGCACATACGTGAAGGCAACACCATCGGATGTAATACAACCCGCTGGTGCATAGACATCTCGATGCGCGCAGCACAGGCCTCTCTCGGCCTCCACGCTGACCAAGTGTGCAGTCCCTGCCCCGGAGGGAGGACAGGGGAGGGGGCACCGATCACACGCCATATCCGCTGACCGGCCGGCAGGGGGGGGGGGGGAACTCACCTGGTCGGACGGGCTACGGCCGTCCTCCGTCAGCACGCGCTCGAACACGAGCCACACCAGCTGGCGCACCGTGGCGCCGGCCGTGTTCATGATCGTCGAGTCCTTGCAGAAGCACAGCCGGAAGCACAGCGCCAGAGCCTGACGGGGCGCCGGGTCGTGACGTCACGGTGCGGGGGGCAGGCGTCAGCGAGCTGGGGTCCCGCCGCCTCACGACAAGCAATAGCAACACGACACTTCCTGGACGTTTGGTTCAATCGACGTGGTTAAACGCATCCTGTGTGGGGATTTAACACAATGAAATAACATCAGAGTGGTGTAGAGCTCCATTTGCCAGATTATAACACCGATGATTATTGACGCTTGCTCTGTTGGCTGCAAATGCGCTGGCTCTTCCCAGCAGGAAGTGGAGTACAGTCAACCCAACCCAAGCGCAGTGCACCTCCCTGACCCAAGCGCCAATCACGATTACGAGCTCCTCACGCCAGAGAGCGTGCGGCTGTCCGGAGGCCGTCTACTCGGCCACCCAGGCCGCCTGCCGCGGGAGCGGGCGGCGACCGGTGGCGAGCCGCTGCGGTCAGGCCCGGCCGCTGGCGCCCACCTTGGCCAGCGTGTCGCCTTGGGCGACGGCACTGGTGGTCAGCAGCAGCGTCACTGTCTGCAGCAGCTTGACCTCCTCGATGTTGGCCTTCATCAGGCTCCAGACAGTCTCAGTGATGTACCCGGCGCCCTTTGCGTCCACCGCCTGCTGCAGCACCAGCCGCTGGATCGTGCCCAGACATTGCTGAGGGCACAGAAACGCGTCAGACAGCGGCTGAGGCTGTACCAAGGTCTGTAGCGGCATGCTAATGACATTGGCCGATTCATCCAAGCCAACATTGGAATATTGAAGGCACACAAATAGGAAATCACATTGCCATCATTGTAAGGGTGTCAAAGAACCATTCAATGTTCATGAGTTATGAATGTCGGATGAATTACATCTCAGATTACACTTATTCACTACACGCCACTGGCTTCTTTTGAAAGTCAGCATGAGAATGCCTGTAGAGCATGAGTATTTGAATAATATTGACATCAGCAAACACAATGACAGAACTGGCTCCTCATCTCGTTTACCAAACACACGAGTACGAGGTTATTAGTTGAAAAGGGACCTTCCTTAGCACTTTGGTGATGCATACTTAAAGGATCTCGGATTGGTATATCGGCAATTACTCCGATTACAATAAATACGACTAGAAACAATTTAGCTAATGTCATCAAAGACAAACATGTCCCGAAGCCACAAATGGTGGCATACATAACTCCTTTTGAACACGCACATTACAAAAGCATGAAGCCACATCTGGCACTTGCCTTGACAATCTTTGGTTCCTTGGTTTCGCATCCCTGCACCAGCGGGTAGAGAATGTGGGCGCTGATGTGGGGGAGGGTCACGTCTGGGTTGGCCAGTCCGCCGCGCACCTTCACGATGGCCTCCTCGCAGGCCTGTCCGAAACACAGAACACCATGGAACGTAACGATGGTCTCCTCGCAGGCCTGTCCCAAATAACACAGAATACCATGGAACGTAACGATGGCCTCCTCGCAGGTCTGCCCAATAACACAGAACACCATGAAACTGTAACGATGGCCTCCTCGCAGGCCTGTCCGAATAACACAGAACACATGGAACCGTAACGATGGCCTCCTCTCAGGCCTGTCCAAATAACACAGAACACCATGGAACCGTAACGGTGGCCTCCTCGCAGACCTGTCCGAATAACACAGAACACCATGGAAACGTAACGATGGTCTCCTCGCAGGCCTGTCCAATAACGCAGAACACCATGGAACCGTAACGATGGCCTCCTCGCAGGCTGTCCGAATAACACAGAATACCATGGAACCTTAATGAGGACCTCTTTGCAGGCCTGTCCGAATAACACAGAACACCATGGAACCGTAATGATGGCCTCCTTGCGGGACTGTCGCAGACAACGGCAACACCTTGGAATGGTCACAATGGCCCTCATAGCAGGCCTGTCCGCAGACAACCGCAACACCTTCGAGCGGTCCCAATGGCCTCATAGCGGGCCTGTCCGCAGACAACGGCAACACCTTGGAACGGTCATAATGGCCTCATAGGGCCTGTCCCGGACAACGGCGGCACCGTGGAACGGTCAAGATGGCCTATAGGGGCCTGTCCGCAGCAACGGCGGCACCATGGAACGGCCACGATGGCCTCATGACGCGCCTGGGTGCTGGAGATAGCACACGGACTTTTATGCTGGCCGAGCGCATACATGCCCACAGTTAAAACATCAGATGTCTTCACAATGGCATCATCATAAACTGCCTGCTGATGAACACCGCAGACCTTCACAATGGCATGTTACATGTATCGGCGCACAACAGCAAGAGTGGCAGCGATAACAATATAAAATGTAAGATAGCATACACTGCTGTGTTAACACTTACAATTGAAGCCCAAGGGCAGATAACTGTTAATATTAAACAGATCAAAGGCTTTCACCCACTGCTAAGTTTTATTAGCCGTGTAGCAAATACCGCAGACGGAGTCTATGATAAGAGAGCATATGGGTGAACATAATGGTCAGACTGCGGTGAAAAAGTAGAACTGCAGTAGACAATCGTATACCATGGATTCAGGATTCATTTTAGTTCTTGGAAAGCCCACTGGATGGTGATGTATGGTGTCTTTGTGAATATTGTGACTTGATGGGCTGCATGCATTATTATGGTGCCTGTGGGTGCTGTGCATACACATGGCTTACATCTTTTAGCTGTGGAAATTTCTTCTTTGCTTCTTGAGATAGATTTCTGAGATCAATTTGCACATTTTCAAGAAATTTCTTCTGATTTTCACTTCTTGATGTCATTGTGGTACAGAGGTTGTCTTCTTTACATGAGCATCATCATGATCTGCCAAACATGGGTAACAGTTAAACATGAGGCATCAGCATGATCAAGCCCACCATGCACTGTGAAATTATGAAGCAAAATATGCTGAAAGGTACCCAAAAACCTCAGGTCCCTTTACCATGTGACTTAACTGTATTGAGCTTTGCAAGCCTGTCAGTCTGTGGGATCTGATCCTCTCAATGTTGCTGTTGCATTGTATTAGCTCAGTCTAATTGATGCATTCAAAATAATGATATATCTCTCCTGATTCTGCTGCCAGTTAAGAGTTACAGCACTTTTTCAAGATTGGAATGATTTCACCTAAGAATTTAAACTGTTGCTGAAGCTGTGCATTTTAAGACTGATTTTAAGCTTATTTAAGTAGCTATCCCAAACAACATGTAATGGAAACCTGAATAACTGGCTTGCATTTTTATTTACAAACTTCTGCTTCCTTGGTATGCCTGTGATAAGCATGATGCTCAACAGTTCCTGGGCAACAACAGACCCCCCTAGATGAAAGATATTATACTTTTGAAGACAACAGCCTGCATCTCAACTGTATTTGCTGTTCAGAGTCAAGCAAAGTTGGTGTTTATATCAACAGTAGCTGGAGGTTATGTGTGTCAAATAGCATATGGTAGCTACACATTTTTGGTGTTTTGGGCCCACAGACATTCTTATTGCATTGGTATACAAAGACAGAGCATAGGCAATACTTTGGACTATAGCTGAGCTTAAAAGGGGAGGAAAGGGTCGGGCATGCAGAAATCACACTTAGTTGTGGTGGCAATCATGTTCAAGCTTAAAAGGAGAAAGAAGCTTAAGCTATAAGAGATACACCTGGCTTTTCCTATGACAGGCAGCATACACACTCCTAAAAGCTCAAAGATAGCCAAACTGTGTATCATATTCAGATGGTCCCTGCCTTTTGGTCACCAGCGCACAGTTTTGGTGATACACAAGTACAGAATTATTCAACAAAACACAACCTGATAACCTGAACTCTGGGTCAACCCATAACTGAGAACAACTATTTATTTTGGTTGATGATCACATTTTGCAATGGACAAAATGGGCTGCCATTTTGTGCTGGCTTCACAGCACAGAGCCACAATGTAGATGTTTACCTGTAAAATGCTACTTTTCCCTATCCATCACCCATTATCAGGTGACCAGGAGTGTCCACTCCTGTATGCCATGGCATGCAGCATCTACATTAATATCTCTATTAGTAGCTGTAACATAAGGCTGCTGCACTCAGCTTCTTACCCAGCCTGGTCATATTGCTTGCATGTTGTGACCTCATTAACCTCCTATTAACCACATAGCTGTGCATGGTGGCAGAGATACAGGGATTGTCAGTCAGGGTGGCATCATTATGAGTTTGTGGAAAACAAAGTTTCAATGAAATGCACTAGCTTGCCTGTCCATACAAACCCACATCATGCAAGAAACCCAGCTAACTCCTAGTTTCTCTTTTTTCCTCACTCACAGAGTTCAAAGTGATATCCCTCAAATCAGTATCAAACACATGCTCACATCATCCTCAAACTTCTGACACCTGTGTTGTGACCTCTTGCAACAGCTGAGCAGCATCAACTGTGAATGCCCTTTATGTGAGGTTATTGCTTGATATAATGGAGAAAACTTTATTACATGGTGTTAATAGTGTGATGAGTGTATTGCTCCCACTGTATAAACATGGTCAGCCCATTGTTTGAAATTTGCACTATAAAAAATACTAACCATGACAGGCATGTCTGCACATTTCATTAACTTTGGCCTGCACAGTATGTGTAAAAGTGGCCCTACTGGACCATTGCAAAAAACTTGCAAGAAAGGGAACACTCCATCGCCATGTATAAGACCGTATGTGTCAAAGCAGGCAGGGCACGCCGGGGTTACTAGAGCAGGGCTGATGCCGCACGCCAGAACGATGCCATACATCATGTGTATGTAGCTACCAATAATGGAGAACCGCAAACAATAAATTGTTGAGTACCGTAAACAAAGCCAACTTGTACAGCGAAAAATACCCACCAACGCGTACTAAATCGTCAGAGGGGCAAATGGCACGGATAGGGCAATTATCGTACGGACGGTTGTTTACATATAGCATGACGAAACTGGCGCAATGCTCCCAAATTTCATTCGTGGCAGAATTACTAGGTAGGCGAACTTTCTGCAACGAGCTTATATCGATTGTTACTCATAATCATGCGATTAACAACCATCATATTGCTTACTTTTGATGGAATATTATATTTCTAAGTTGTAAATGACATTCCAACACATCACTTTTTCTCAACTTAAGAGGAAACTTATGCTCTTTACGTGTTATGTTCTGCTACCATATTTAGTGGCCGGCAGTTGCCGGCGCAGTAGCGACAGTACCTAGTGCCTACGTAGAGTATGGACCAGGTCCTAACTGTGGGTGATGCTGCCCCGCCCCTCTCGAAGGTGACTAGGTCCGCGGAGGAAAAAAGGGACTTGATGATGATGATGGAGGATGAGACATGATGAAAATAAGAAAATCGACCGTTGGTGACGCTTTTGAGGCGGTTGGTCATACAGGCTAGGCTGGGAGCTTAGGATTGTCTAGAAATTAAATATGGGTTTTTTGTCGTTTGATGATGCTCGATTTGACCCAAGGTCATCAGGTTCTGTTAAGGCTAAGTTATCGATCATGCACATCGATTGGTAAATATGTTGTGCCGATCGATCGTGTAAGCGCTGGAACATTGTTTTTCTGCAAAATGTATTTGTTTTTTTGGGCGTCGTGGGGAACTTCTGGTCTGGCGCAAGGTCAGCTTGTTCCTGAAACAATACGTTATCAACCATGGCGCATGGATTTGTAAAGGTTTTGTGTCGATCGGTCCCAAAGGCTCGGAGCACGATTGCACGGCCATGAATAATTCTGAAATCAAAATGGGTTGAGAAAGCGAGCATGTCGACAACGGTTTTGTCGGTCGTTTGGTTCCGCCTTGCCCTCGACGGCCAAGGCGCCAGGGGGAATCGTCATTGTGCAGAATTCGGACCCGTTTACTTGCAGTTATTTAGCCAGGCAGGTCAACAAAACCGCTTCTTCGGTGTGGGATCCTCTGAGTTCGAACGCAAGACCAATGTGGCGGACCCCTGAATGATGGGGTGTCCCGGCATGTTAACATACAGGCCAGAGCGCAAGGTCTCCGGGAAACGGGACGATCTCAAGACCGATGTACATGAATTAGCATCCCTGAGCGATCAAATGTGAAGTGTCCAAGACCAATGTAGCAGGCCCCTGTGAGATCAAGAGTGCTCGAGTGGGTTAACAAAAAGGGTCCGACGAGAGTGTAGGTTCTTCACAAATGACATCGAATGGAAAGAGGCATGGACCAATGCAGAGAACCCCTGAGCATTGAGTGTCACGGTATGTTAACTTATATGGCCCCCAGCAACAGCGCAGAGCCCTCCAAGCAAGTAGAAAACCCTGGGACAAATGTGAAGGGCCCCTGGGCAACCGAAAGCACGCTGGTGGGTTAGTATATGGGGACCCAGCAATAGCGTGTGGAGTCTTTCGGGTAAATGGGAAGAATCCATGGAGGACATCTGACCGATTAGGCATGGCAATGCAGGTTATCATATAGGGCCATTACAACAGCGTAGACCACTCCGAGCAAATGCAAAGAAATCAGGGTAACGTGGAAGGTTCCTTGGCGTGGATTGACCCGCTAAGCGGACGTATAGATCATCATTTCTGCTCAAAATGCGGCCTCGTGACGCGCTCATATTGCTCCCCGTGACCTGAAAAATGAGACTGCACTGCCTCCACGGGGCACAGCGTAACTTTAATGACATGCAAACTCCCTTTCTCCAGCTGATGGGCGTGTGCTTTGATGAGTAGAGATAGGTCACCGTCCACTCGCTTTCTTCCCGCCTTGCCTATGTGGATGCATTGGAAAGTTTCGCCCATGGGCAGGGGCATATGCAGGGTTTGGCAATGGGGTCAGCGTGACTCAAAATTTTCACTGAGAACCAGTTTTTTGGCGCGTTGCAGGGGAGCGAAATGCCTTGCATGCGTAGAACAAAAGGCGTCTTTTCAATCCGTTTACTTGCAATCGTCTACCACAATAATTCATCGTCGACATTTGTTCACCCGGATACTGATGCATTAACAATCTGATAAGGGGCACGTGCCCGCAATGCCCCCTCCATTGAATACACCGTTGCCCAAGAGTCCCATCTCTGTTCAGGAGGCCTCCCGAAAAATTCTGCCCGGATTCAAAATCCATGGTGCCACTCCTTCCCCTATGTTATGCCTCCAAAACTGCTTTCTCGACAACGTGGACCGTCATTTAAAATAGCACGCGCTACTTTCGGGGCGACCATTGTCAGTGGCGTCGTCAAAGTTCGCGAGTTGCGGTACAGAAACGTGAATCGGTGTGGGGAGGGGGGGGGGGGGGAGGCAGCGGAAAGCCGGAAAACCTCCACTGACCTATCCTCATCTTCCCCGATTTTGGAAAAGACTTCAAGTTGATTTTCTGATGTCAAGGGCGAGTTGACCCCTGCGTTTTCCATGATGACGCAAATGATTTGAGCGCCCAATCGTCTGCTTCAGAATATGACAAGAATTAAGTTCAATATGTTTTCCGAAATAGAGACCGATCTTTCAAGTGCTTCAAACAATGGCCGAGGTCCAATGAGCCTGTATTTCGCATGGGCCGATTGTCCCCTTGCCATGAACGCCTCAACGTCAATGTAGTTCCCGGGTCTGCACTTCTATCCCACCTTTTTCATTACCTGTATAATGGGCCACTTCATAACTGGGGTCCTAGTACTCATCCCGGTTGTCTGTTTAGTAGGTACTAAAACTGAGTTTAGTAGGTGGACGGATGTGGACCTCTCCCCAAGTTTAATTTTCAGAGCGGAACGATGGCTCCACTCGGGAGTTTGGAATATTATCACATTCGTTCTTGTCCACATCATCCGGATCACCGAAACATCCACACAATACCAGGCATCCCAAACCAATACGAATAAAGCACATTTTCCACGTTAAAAAGTACGAGCTTCGTTGAACACCTGGTAGGCCCCATCTCTTTTCCGTGCTCGGGACTTGGCGCTCCATGCATGCGGTGTCGCAGCTGATGTCTGAAGGCGTATGTTTTGCTGCAGGACTTAAGACACATATTTTACCGCACCGCCAATAGCAGGCATTAACTGAAAACATTCATTTCGTGGCCTCTTTCAGCTTATCTCTTCGCTTGCTCTTATCCTGTTATCAGTCATGTGATGACAGACAGTCGCGCGGGCGGCCTGCGGTGCCCGAGCGTTGTGCCTTGCAGGGTGGACAGACTTGGGAGCATCTTTGTGACATTCAAGATCCTTCTGGTCCTCATCACCACTGAGCGTGAGTCCACATATTGTTCCTTTTGCTCTCGGTAGAAACTCCTACAAGCTGAACCCATGAGACGCTTCGGGTGGGGGAAAATCCACGAATGCTGCGCTTAGGGTTGCTATCCCCTCTCCCCCCAAGGCAACTCCATTTTTCATCGTCTCAAGATTGGCATAGTCCCCAAATATATTTGCCTTTGGACCCTCTAGTCTTTGGGCTGCTAGTACATAGGTGTGTGTACCATCGCCTTGTTTATCGGTAGGGGGCTGTTTGCAACGCTGGTGGTTTCAGATAAGTCATCCCGGTTGATGAAAAACATGCAAAATCTTCAGTACATTATTTGTTTGTCAGCTCTTGACATGCCGTAGGTAGGGTTTCGCAATAAAGAAACGCAAATGAAACTTAACACAGGCCTCCAAAACCATATTTTTTCATCTAAAATGTATTTTATTTTCTCTTTGATTTGTCACGTGAGTGTTAGCTGGTTGCTCGAAACTGATCTCACAATGCGTTTCGTTAGTAGTTAAGAGCTACTGCCGAACCGCAACACAAGAAAAACTTGGCGTGTCATGCATCCAGGCGCTCCTCGTTTCATGACGCCTTTGTTCTTAACCTTCATGGCGAACGTCCGTCATGTTTCCTGTATACAAAAATCACATTTCAACTATAGACGCGAGACTTACCACAAGTCTCTGCTAGGGGTCCGTAGAAACTTGACACTAGCGTTTTAAAACGGTGGTAGAAACTGACGGTGAGGTAACACCATCATATCAACGAATGTATCTTCTGTAGGGATACCGTATCTTAAGTGGGCTGGGCATAATATGAGTGTCCTTCCCTGAATACCATGGTCGGGGTTACGCTGACTGGTAATACACATTGGGTAAAATGCGCGAGTGGACGCCTTGCATATAGATAGTTTGGGGACTCGGGTACTGACTTCGGGTTATTTTCGTATTGGCTTCTGATCAGTTCAAGTAATCGTGTTACCTAAAACTACATTTCAACTTCATTTCATCCTTGGAATTTAACCGGAATTTATATACCAGTGCTTAAAGGCACCCATTTGCCTATCATTAGGACCATCCTGATCTTGGATACTACCTGCCTGGCAGCGCGGGCACCCTTTTGGTTACGGACCATCCAATGGCTGAATTCTCGCCTGCGCGATCAGCGCGTCTTTCCCATGCGGTTATCACAGACATATTGATGTGTTAAGAACACCATAAGCAAATTGCAGCTGTAACACCTTCAGACATTTCGTTTTCATCGGTAAGTTTTCTGGAACATTCCGTGAAATAAACCGGTGCAATAGGCGTATAAGATGTCTCTCAACACGGTATATTTCATAGCAAGGCACCGATACATCAATGGTGTCACCTAATGCGTATGATCGTGTTAATCAGGTCAGTGGTATTTCTTGTAGCTTATATCTATATTGCAGTCAATTTAAAGATTGTTCTGACCAATATGGTTGATTCGACCTCTGACTTGCATTAATTTTAGAACGAATCATTTCCACCCCGACTCAACGAAAAATTGGTTGATTCGGGAATCTACTCCTGCATCTCCCAAAAGCAAGCTTAAGTGTGCATACTAGGCCACCGAAAAGTGACGTTCTCAAAGCTCAGCATGGTGAATTAAAGTAAATCATCGCTCCGCAGCGCCTTTTTCATACTGGACGTGC